GACTAGTCAGAAGCGACTCTTGCTGCCACTCATGTCACCGTCCAGCCAGCTACTCTGGTTGAGTTTGGAGATCGTGCCTGGTCGTACACCCTTACTGTTTAGTAAGCGGGCTATTAAGCAGTTAGGGGGCATAATCAACACAATCAACGACAGCTGCAGACTTACCAAGCTTGGCCGTGAGATACTTCTGAGCCATAGCCCGACCGGGCTGTATCTTCTCGATCTGAGCCAGCTATGCACAGTCAAAATGCCATGTCCCACAACGAGCACGACTTGCTCCAATCAGGACTCAGCCATGCATGCCTTCTCTGAGGCAACAACTCTTGATCAGGGGTCAGAGCCATCTGCCGCAGAGAACCAGAATTCACTGAAAGCTAGTTCAACTAGCCCTGTTAATGATGCAAACCTGGGCATTTCAGTTCCAGGCACAACCTCTCAGAAATCCACTGCGTGTGCAACTCAGGCCGAGCCGTTGGCCAATGCCTCGCTCAAGAAGCCTCAGCCCAATCCTGTCAAGCTGATTTGCTCAACTCCCTTTCGTCCAGTCAGCAATGGCTCCCAAGAAGGACGAGACGTTGACTCTCGGCAAGCGCCTGGCCCGTCTCCAGGAGGCTGGCGACGACCTCTCCTGGGGCAATGTCGTTCTCCAGAACCTCGAACAGCTTGGCCGTTTCAAGATCAACTGGGGCAAGCACACCGGGGAGACGTTTCAGGAGGCTCTCGAGGGCCATTTCGACTGGGCCAAATGGGTGGTGGAGCATCTCGACACGTCCGAGAAGCCCTGCCACAAGGCCTTCATTCGCTACGTGGAGCTCTATGTTCAAGAAGCCGAAGAGGTGGAGAAGCAGTTGATGACTGCCCAATCCTCGACTCCAACCGAGATTCCGAAAGACAAAGAGAAGCTCTCCACCAGCAAGTTCAAGCCCAAGTCCCGTTCGAGTCCTCCCAAAAAGGAAGACGTGGCCGCCAGTTCGAAAGACAGTATGGACGGCCCAGACATGGAACAATGGGAAGCCGTGGAGCCGGGCGAGACCACAGTCCGGGTGGAAGAGTTGAGTATCCGCATGAATCATCTCGAGACCGTGCTTGCTCAGGTGGCCGGAGCCGTGCAAGAGATTCATCAGACGCAACTCCAGAAGCAGTAGAACAGTGCAATCTCCAGCAGATCCAAGGGCAGACTGATCAGGCAATCGCAGAAATCCAACAGCTGTTAGCTAAGAATCCCCTCCAACAACTAGGCTGGTCCCCTAATACCGAGAAGCCTGATCAGTCAGCCGGAGACCCTAAGCCTCACGCTCCCACCTGTGTAGCCCATCAGGAAACCCCTAGCGTGTTGCGAAGATTCCTTGATCAGGTAACCCCACCTAGTCCTGCTGTGTCCAATCAAAGTGCATCTGCTGAAGAGGATTGCTGGCAAGCATTCCTTCGAGCCAAGGAGTCGGCGTGGGACGTTATCCAGGATTCCATGCTGAGTTATAACCAGCCCCTAGGGAAACAACTAGATTTACTAGAGGTATACACGGAATCCGATAGCAGACTCACATCGGCAGTGGAAGAAGCAGGAGGTTTTGCCATGCGTTTTTCTCGCAGGGATGGGGATCCAGCTACCATAGAGGGCCAAAAGAAGTTGTTCGAAATTCTCCAGGTGTATCAACCCAAACATGTCCACATGTCCCCGGATTGTAAGCATTGGGGTTCGTGGTCACGATATAACAGCACCCGAAGTCAAGTAGCATATAAAGAGTTGATGCAGAACCGGCGCCAGGAGCTGGTTCATGTGCGTCTCTGCGAGCGAGTGTGTCAATGGCAGCGTCAGAGACAAAGACACTTCCATTTTGAACAACCCCAACAATCCCAAACGCTCAAAGAACCCGACTTTGCCCCGATCATCCAGGTAACTAAGAGGGCAGATGTAGATATGTGCAGTTTTGGTCTCCGCACCCCAGTCACCCAGAAACCCATAAGGAAGAGGACCTGTACACTAACAACTTGTCCAAGAGTGCATGCAGCCCTCCTGCAACAGCGGTGTCCGAAAGATCATGTGCATCAGCAAATCGCTGGCAGTTTGAAGCTGCAAAATGGCCATTCAATGGCTGTTTCCCGTTTTGCAAGTTCATATTGCAAGGGGTTTGCCGAGTTCATGGCCCGGCTGATCATGCAACCGCAGCCTGCGCATGTCCTCAGGGAGATATCTGAAACGTAGTCCCCTCCTCACCTGCAAAGCGATCAGCCGAGCAACTTGATGCCGGTGTCCGCCGAGGGATGCCCCAGCACAGGGTTGAGCAACACTCTAGTACGGGTATAGTGGAAATCACGGACCCCAAATGTAAAGCCGTATTAGATCAAAGGTGGGATGCAACGCCGCAACGAGGCACCAACCTTTTACAAACCAATCACCCCGCATATCAGGGTTTATGTAGCTGCCTTCCGGAATATGAAGTACTTCAGGTTTTTGTTAAGTTTAATTGCAAAACCTTGCGCTCGCCGATTGGCGCTCTGCCTTGCGCGGTGGCTCCGATCCGTGTGAGTCTGGCACTGCAACCTGGTCCCAAGTATGTATGCCTGGGTAAGGAATCACGGACCTCGATGCCACATAGTCGCACGCATGCCCGTATTCCCTTAAGCAATGTGCTGCTTACAATCATACGCCGACCTAAACCAGGTGAAGTGGCAGCCACACCTAACTCGAGTGGCCTCATCGAACACCCTCGTGAAACCACCACGAACACAGAGCCAAATGCTCCTCGCCAGGTGTCAGCCCCGACCGACCTAATCACCGGATGGGCTCCCCCACCAACTCCTATTCATGGCCCAAGCTTTCGTAACTTAAGCAAGGAGAAACAAGCCGAACTGGTTCGCATCCATAGGAATCTGGGACACCCTGCACCCCTAGTCCTAGCCCACCACTTGAAAGTAGCAGGGTTTGGAACAGATATGGTTGAAGGAGCCAAGGAGTATCAATGTGATACTTGCCTGGAATCCACGGAACCCCGTCACCAAAGACCAGCTAAGTTACATGAGCCCCGAGAATTTAATGACACCTTAGGCCTGGATGGGTTCCATTTCCATAGTCGGTCTGGCTACCGGGCATACGTCATCCATGTCCTAGACGAAGCTAGCTGTTTTCATCTAGCTAAGAGGGCGACGTCTCACCATGCTCAGGAAGCAACCAAGACAGTTGAAGACCTATGGCTAGCATGGGCAGGCAATCCCAAACGAGTTTACTTAGACCCGGCCCGAGAGTTTCGATCAGATGGCTGGATCGATTTTCTTCAAAGCATCAATGCGGAAGTGTTCCTCACCACGGGCCCGCGGCAACGGGGCCGTGTCGAGAAACACGGTGATACCCTTAAGCACATGCTCCACAGACTTGACACTGAATCCGTCATCTCCAATGAGCAACAATTTGATAAAGCGTTGCTAGCATGCTGCCAGGCAAAGAACTGCTTAGTACGTAAGGATGGCTATTCCCCAGATCAGATAGTGCTGGGTAAAGCAGTATCTGTCCCGGGGTCTAATACATCAGATGAAGCCTCGGCTTCTCACCTGCTGGCAGTCGGACAGGACATGGAAGCTGAACTCCATCGACAGAGGCTGGATTTGCGTTGCCGAGCGAGACAGGCATTTCTGGAGGCGGATAATAGTCAGGCCATCCGGAGAGCACTTCTTCGTCGATCAAACCCACCCCGCGGTCCATATAGTCCAGGACAATATGTTCTATATTGGATTCGCAAACGTAGTCCCAATCGTCTCGCGTCTGGAAGATGGTGTGGGCCAGCCCGTGTAATTTGTAACGAGGGTCAAAGTATTGTGTGGGTGTCCCATGGACCTAAAATCCTTAGGTGCTGTCCCGAGAACCTCAGGCCCGCGTCCTTACGTGAATGGTCCTCAATAACCCGAGACGAAGAAGATCTTGCCCAACCTAATGTTGGGGGAGCCAGTAGCTTTATTGATCTCCAACATCAGGATAGACCCCCTGTGGAAGAACCCGCCGCACAACCCGGGCAGCACCCACCTGTGCCTCCTGCGCCGGCCATCGTTCCCTTACCGGCTGCGCCGAACCCTTCGTCAGTTCCCGGACAGGCCAGGTCTGAACAATCAGGTCAACCGGAACAGGAACTAACTCCGGATGTCAGTAGACAAGTTTCAGAGCAACCAAATCTGGCTGCACAGCCTGCCGGTGTTGAGCGCCCTTTCGACGCGGGACCGGTTCCGCTTGACCCAGCTCAGCCTCCGTCAGCCGACGCCGCAGAGCAGCCTGCACCTGCCTCATCCATGTTGGATGCAACGCAAGTCCCTGTGCCTGACTCTGATCTTGAAGAGGCATCACATGCGGAGCATGTTATGCTCGCCTGCGAGGAATCTGGGGCGCGTGACGCTCAAGGTGCAGCTCTGTTCAACTTCACGACCCTGGAACCTGGGAGTGAGGAGAGTATTCCCCCACTAGCTGAAGACAACCTCCCGTATGTAGAACAGCCCCTTTCCTGCCAAGAACATCAAGCATTCTGTCTCGAGATTCCTCTCGGCCCGAAGGACCTGCACGTTGGAAGAAGGAGAGTTCCCCAGAACAAATGTGTTACTTGGCCTCAATCACTAAGAGGGCTCGTGCTGAAGTAAGAGTTAAAGACCTTACACCTCAAGAACGTGAACTGTTCGAGCAAGCAAAGCAAAAGGAATTGCAATGCTGGATCCAGACGTCCGCCATACGCAAAATTTTAAGGAGTAAGCTAAACCCTCAGCAAATCTTGCAAAGCCGTTGGATATTAACCTGGAAAGCTCCAGAAGGTGAGTCACAACAACGTCGAGCCAAAGCAAGACTCGTAGTACTCGGATATCAAGATCCCAAGTTAGTTGAAGTAATGAGGGATGCCCCTACGTTGTCCCGAGAAGGTAGGTCCGTAGTCCTACAGACCATAGCCTCTATGAAGTACGAACTTGGGAGCTTTGATATCACAACGGCATTTCTTAGGGGTAAGGCAGACCCGAACAATCCCCTCGCAATGGAGCCACCCCCGGAACTCCGAGCCACCCTTCACATGCAACCCGACGAGGTGTGTCAACTCCTAGGCAACGCTTATGGTAGGGCTGATGCTCCGTTACTATTTTATAAAGAGCTTTCAAAGCAGTTGCTAGGACTTGGCTTCACCCGACACCCGCTAGATCCCTGCATATTCACCCTAACTACTGGGTCCCAATTACGGGGTATTCTGGGGATGCACGTAGATGATGGTGTATATGGTGAGGATTCCTTCTTCAAAGCCAAGCTGGATCAGTTGCAGCAGACCTTGCCTTTCGGCAGCCGAAAGACAAAAGCCTTCGTCTTCACCGGAATCAGTCTAGAGCAATTGCCTGACTACACCATCAAGGCTAACCAGAAGGAGTATGTGCATCATATCCCCCACATAGACATTGGTAGGTACAGGCGTCAGACTCCCCAAAGTCTTGTGACTGAACAAGAGCGCACTAAACTTCGAGGTCTTGTGGGATCTTTACAATTTGCGGTAACACACACCCGGCCGGACTTGGCCGCTAGGGTGGGTGAACTTCAGGGACAAATCACTAGGGCGAACGTACAGACGTTGTTGGATGCGAACCGAGTGTTGCGAGAAGCGCAGCAACACGATGACGTGAGCATTTTCTACTTGCCGATACCACCCGATCAAATTACGTTTGCATCGTTCGGCGACGCATCTTTCGCGAGTTCCAAGAATTTGAATTCCCATCAAGGCACCCTAGTATGTGCAACGGATAAACGTTTGGAGCAGAACCTCGAAGCCCCGCTATCTCCCCTTGTTTGGATTTCGAAGAAAATTCCCAGGGTAGTTAGATCAACACTTTCCGCAGAGGCGTACTCCATGTCCAAAGCCGTAGATGTTCTGGGATGGGTTAGGTCCCTATGGGGTTGCGTCCACATTCATAAGTTCCCCTGGCATGACCCCTTCTCCAGCTACAAACTAATGCACCGGGCCCTCTTGATGACAGACTGTAAGTCCCTCTTTGACTTAGTAACCCGCCTAGCTACTCCTGCCTGTGAGGAATATAGGACAACCCTGGAGATCCTTTTAATCAAGCAGAGAATCGAAGAGCATACATCGTGTAAGTGGATCCCCACAACAATAATGCCGGCAGATTGTTTAACTAAAGCTATGGGCCCCAGTCTTCTGAGGACTATACTTGCCAAAGGCCGCTTTGTTCTGTATGACTCAGACGGTTCACTTCCAAAGGATGCACAGAGACGTCAGGCGTTGTCTTGGCTTTTGACGGGACGAACAGAGCAAACAGCAACACACACGGGAGTGACTCCGACGTTGCCACAAGAGG